AGTGTTTCCTGTGCATTTTATCTTCACACAGAGAACAACATTTTCTCCCCTCTGTAATGAAGAGCCGCAACTGGAGGCTCAGGCTTTGCACTAATTTCCTTTGGCCAAAAGCCGCAATTCTGGGCATAGCTCAGAATTAGCCCAATTTTTGTTTCCAGAATGCCTTGCCTCAGCCCAGCTGGAATTATTTGTCATCACATTCCTCGTGAGAGTGTGTCGCTCCCATTAGCGCTAGCACTGTGCAAGGCGAAGCAGACAACACACACTTCCAAACCAAGGTACCCTGCCTGACCTACATTTTTAGAAACCGCGGCATCACGCGGGAGGCTTTCATACCAATGACCAAGATGTTATTTAGCTGCTCCACTCCGTCGATTTTAGACAGCAGCTGATTAACGACAGTATCATGGACTCCCGTGCTGCCCGCCATGCTCCCTCTCTGCTTGCAGATGGCATCAATCTCATCAAAGATTATGATGTGGAGACCACTGTTTGCACCAAGCTATTGGAAAGAAATGATATAAAAATGCCCCCATGAAACTGGCCATACAAAATGCTAATATTCTACTCTTTCTTGGCTCCTGTTGGGAAGAGAACAGAGACAGTAGTGTGTTTCTGTCCGTGATCCCTACAAAATGCTGTGTGGGAGACACCTGTAGGTCTAGTTCTTAACATTCCAGTGCCTGGTCTGCACTAGGATTTCAAGGCATGATAATGTGTTAGCTAACATGTGCTACCTCATTTTAGATCTATTTGAGGGCTTGTTAAACTGGCTGAGTAAAATGTAAGACTTCTCCTTGGCTTTAGCTTGACTAAATGTAGCACATGCCTCATCCAAACTGGACTTACATTAACATGTGCTAACAGGTTTTAAAAGTCCTTTATGACATAGTACACAGGGTCCTGTTCAGACTAAGAGGCCTTTAAGAGCAATCAACATTTTTGTCACTTAGGTTTTTTTTTTCTTATTTTCCTCCATATTTGAAATTCTCCAAAAATAGGCATGGGCTGACTGCATTACAAAAGCACAATGTATTTACACTCTTGAGATTTCCGTTGCTTTGCAGACATCCCATTTCTTCTGTGTTGATGGCACTCCCTGGGCTTACCTATGTGCAGATGCTTCTACAAAGTCTGGAGCAGGAAAATATTCAAAGCAGACAAGGGCTGATTCTGGCTATATATTTGACACAAGCAATACATAGGCACATGTCAGTTCTGCTCTCCAGGATCATCAGCT